GATAAGAAAGAGGCAATTTCCTTCTGCAAAAAAAAAGAAAAACAGGAAGAACTTGTGTGTTTTTTAGGTAGTTCAAGCAGACTAAACCGAATGAGAGAACTAAATATATACTGTATACTGTACAGACCACATAGGCTTTAGGTTTTAAGACATTGTTGGTGAATGGGCAATTAGAAAGTACATTTTTCAATTTTACAGTGAAACTACAATGAAGATCTTTGCCTTCAAAGCAGACGTAATTATATAAATTATGGGCTTTCTTATAAGGAGGATAAAAAATAAATGCAAGGACAGATCTTTGGAAAAGCATATATCTTAAAACTTTAAATGGCACGATTGTGTTGGCCGGGTTTCAAGAACTGATATGTGTGAATTGTATCAATAATTAACTCCCTAATTATTAAAAGTCATGTCATGTCATTTGCCAAACTGCTTTATACCGTACGGTGTCCCGGCAATTCTAAAAAATATTATGAGTAATTATATTCATTTTATAATTCACCAATATATTACATTTTTGATAATGCTACCAAATCCATAACAATCAAGGGGCAAATTATCTTGCCCTGCATCTTAGAAACAAACCATGAGATGCAAACCTTAAAGGTTCTCACAACAAGACTGGGATCTGAGAGGCCACTTCTTTATACATTTAAAAGTATTTGACTAAACAAACATATAGTATGTTTAGCATAGACTAAATGCATTTAAATGCACATTGTGTAATATGTAAAATTACAAATACTGTTTGCATTTAAAGGTATTAATTTAAATATACACTATGTAAACACTGAAACATAATATTATTTTTGTTTTATATATACTGTATGCCTTGCTCAGAATTTCATCTTTACAAGTCATACTTTGTTAATGCACAGTAATGTTTCATAAGTATTATTTTCCATATTAGATTTATTAGCAGTATATGACTTACACATTAGAAATATATGTAGATATACAATTTAGATTTTGGCAGATATTGAATAATGATGTAGGTTTACAATTCTAGAACACTTTTAAACTTTTACTCACACACTTGAATGACCTCTGGAATTCTATTACAAATGTAATCTAAATCTCTAAAACATGGAATTGGCCTGAACAAAAGTAGACAATTTAGAGGAATAAATCCTGCTGTACAGTATTAACGCAGTCCACATTAGCATAGCTCTCTTATCTCATAAAATCAAATGTTAGACAATGTTTACATATAACAAAACAATGATGAAGTATAGTATGTTGTGTGAGTTTTAGACTTGTATATTTTACTTGACACTTACTGCCAGGATCGAGCTGCATTCCTTGTTTGTGAGTCAGTTTTGCATTATCTGGGCTTCATGATTTATGAGCTATCAACTCTTATACAGAAAACAAAAGAAAGCCAAGATCCTCCCAGAGAAAGGTGATTACATGAGTCATTCTCTGTTACTACTGGTAGGAAGGATTGACACTAGTTGCTATCAATCTTGTAGTACTTAATGTTTTAATATGGATTACTCTCCACTTGCATATAGGGGGGTCTACACAAGTTTGGTTTTGGTGTGTGGGCTGTGCTCCTAGCTTCCTTCTGAGGGTGAACAAACACGCATTCTCACTTCCAGGTTCAAAAATAGACAGTTTTGCTCAAGGCACTTTCCTTCACGCAGGAATGACATCAAACTGGTTTCGTCTTTCCTTTTTAAACCAGTTGTAAGCTGTTTAGAGCAGGAAGACCATCAAGAGGTGGCTTTTGGAAGCTGTTGGCCGTCTTTACCCATGAAAAATGAGCAGAACATTCAAAAAGCTTATTCTGGATCTGATTTATTTCAAACAGAAAGCACATTTGGCTCACAGAAGTGATACCTTTAAGAGGATGTCTTTGGTCACAAAGTCATTTTCCTATTTCCCTTTTTCAATTGTTTTTTGCACCTGTGTACCTGCCTCTGCACTTAATGCACAAGTGCAGCGTTTATTAGAAAAATTAACTCTACTAACCAGAGTAACTTGAAGGCTCCATATTTTTAGTTAACCAAGTTGCTCAATTCTAACATTCTTATGAATTCCTTATTCTGTAGATGGGTAAAGCATAGGAAAGATATTGGATGAAAATGATACATTGATTGGTAACCCAAATCAGTTTTGTCCAAAGTATGCATTTTTTTCACAGCTACTTCAACAGTATTGTTTTATCTTTAAATACTTTACATTTGCACATATACTGTAAATACAAATGTATCCTACAGTTAGGTAATGAGTGATGGTACTTGATAAAAATTATAGTTGCTATCATTCTTCAAAACGAAAGAAGTACTGTATACTGTAAAACATATTTCTTAACTGTGTCTTATGTTAGAGATTTTCCCTTTAGAGAAAGACAAGCTGCAGTTGGAGGGTTGGACACTAGGTGGCGAAGATCATATTCCACATCAGAGGACCTGTCCTGGATGTTTCCTCTGATACTGTACATCCAATTTTGTGGGATCTGCAGGGTAAGTGTTGTCAATCTGTTTGAATTCCAACAGCTGTTTACACAACCGTGTTTGTGAAAATATAGAAAGAAGGAATTTCGCTGTCTGTCCTTTATGCTCTTAGTATTATAATGTGTTTACAGTACATGCAATGATGAGCATACTGTACGTCCTGCTCCTACAGAATATTACTATGCAAATCTGCATAGCTACCCCTATGGACAGTGTGTAGAAGTAAATACACTGGTGATTTTCAGAATTTTGTCATCAAAAGCATCACAAGTGCCTTTTTATTTTTTTTAGACCTGACCTGATTCTCCTATGTGCTGCTTTGCTGTTACTGATACAGTTTTCTCTGTTCCCAGTTAAAATCACATTTTTTTTTTGATGAGTCATTCTCCCGAGTCATTATTACTGTTTGGGTGTTAAGGCAGTTTTAAGATTAGCCTTTAACTGCTAAAGTTACTGTTCTGGTTTTGCCCTGTCACCACTGAACGTTACCTTGCTTGACAATGGTTTTACAAAATAAAAAGAAAAGCACTCAACAAATATAATAAAGAAAAAAGGCAATATTAATACTACTTACTGCTTATAATAAAATTGGAGGGATTTTAACAGTTGCTGCATATTAACAGAACTGCCATTCTGTTTTACCAAAACACATACACATTCACATAATACAAGCATATTGTTTGCTTGTATTTTATAAACTGCACCAGCATGAAACACACAGTTGTGCTATTTTCTGTACACATTAGTTTGTAATTTAAACCCCACAGACTGAAGGAGAAACAGGGTCCCCCCTGTCATGGTGACAGGTGTGCAGCACTAGAAGCCATGCTCTTGTAAGACATTAACCTTTAGCAATTTTAATCAGGGTAATCAATTCACACATGGCTACACAAGGCAGACCAACTGCACTGAGGACCTTCCCATTCTTGAGGTCTGTTTTTCCTTTTTTTTCCCATTTTAGTGTTTGTACACACTCCCCAAAAAAGTATATCCCTTTATGTATAAAATAAAAGGAGCCTTGGTTTGAAAAACATAATAAAATTGGATGACACATTCTATGTCAACTGGAGTTAAGACTCTTAGTTGCCTACCTCATTCTGAAACATGTATTACATGAAGATTATACTCCTGTAATACCTTGTTTACTGAGATATCTTCTAAGATATTAAGTAAGCTCCACTAATTCCAGAATTCAGCTGTTCATGGGCCAAAAGAACTATTTGTCATAACATTACTCATGTTCTCTGAGCAGAGCACTGCATTCCTGTGAACCAGGTTAGAGTGGACTTTAAGGTAATTTTGCTCATGCATACAGTACAAGACATCGAATGCCCTACAGTATCCCCAGGTTATCTTAAAGATGTTTTGATAATAAGTTAATTAAGACTTCATGCTGCTGAAGGTTTTAATGTAAAATTCTGTTTTCCCTTAGTTTTATGGGATAATTTAGAAACGTGCTTTTCAGTTTTCTATATTTTTACTTCTGTTAATACTTTACTGAGAGTGTGTGCTGTTGTACAATACATCACCTTAAGTTTCTTGAAAAGTGCTCATAAATAAAATCATATAGTTATAATATATTTATTTGTTTGGCAACATTTTGTTTTCTGAAATAGAAGAAGCACCATAATGTTTTACGTCATGACTGTTTTGTATAATGTAATTCTTTATATCAGGGGTCTCCGACTGAGGTCCTGAAAAGGTCAAATTCCAGAAGTTTGAAACATCACCCTGAATTACCTTTCCAGAAACACTTGTAAATTATTGACCAATTAATCAAATAAATTGGTTCAGTTAAGGGAAATTGTATCACCCAGAGATGCAAATTTTTGTTCTTTAAAAATGTGTGAATTAATGATTATTATAATACCTGCTGGGATGGGGCTTTACAGAAGCTAGGTTGGAGATTTGTATCATATCTCATTACAGTTATCATGCAATGGTTGTTCTGGCACATATCAGGCTGTAACTCTTTTGATGCTTACAAAATACACCCAACAATAAATTATCAGCCCTTTATTCTTGGTAAGGATTAGTTTAAGGCTTGTCACACACAGGAGCAATTTAGAGATGCCAATTAGCTCTTCTAATGTGTTTTGGGAATTGAAGCTGGAGCACCTGGAGAAAACCCACAGGAATGAAGGGAGAATATACAGAATCCACACAGAAACATTCCCAGAATCAAACCCATAACCCAAGAGCTGTGAGCTCTGGTTTCACAAACACCTTATGTTTTCAAATTTGGGGTTAATGTTCACCCTTTCAACAGAAAACTTGTTTTTAGTAATATATTTCTTCACCAAATCAGGGTCATGTACATCATATATTCAGAACAAAGCACTTTTGGCAACAAAAAGGAAAAAATACAAAGTTTTTGTGGAAAATGTTACTGTTTAATACGGTTTTCAGCTTCTCTGAACACATTGAGTGAAGTTTAAGCATGTTAATCTCTACAGACTAAATATTTGTATTTATTGTGTCATTGATTAATCTATTCTAAAATGTTATTTAATAAAATATTCTTTTACTTCAATATCTGTGTATAATATTAATGTGATTTTATGTCAGGGAATGTCTTGTTTTTCACCTGTTCTTCATGTTGAGGTTTTGTCTCTCTTTCATGCTCCCTTGTCCTGCATCAGAGATTAATCTGGATTTTTCTGGTAGTCTGAACACAAATTGACTTTGACATACTAACCTTTTCTTTTTAAGCAGCTTGTCTTAAAGGCACTAGTATGGGAGCTTTGAGAAAATGTTTAGGAATTTGATGATAGGTTAGACATGTCTGTTGTCATTCTGCATTTCCAAATTCTCCAAAAAAAAGATCCTCAACAACACACCAAATAGGTAATTTAAAATATTGAAATATTATCGAGACAGCAGCACACCTCTTAGCACTATTGTCTCTGTGATGTTCAACATACTGTAAACAACTGTTATTTTAAGAACTGCATCTTAAAATGTTTTTTTTTGCATTCCTGAAGCTACATTTATGCATCAGTATTTCGAAACATTAAGAAACAAATTAACACAATTCAAACATTCAAATTGGAATCGCAATGAAATAAAAGCCATCACGATTTTACGTTGACATTGGAGAATAAAACACAACCTAGAAATTCCACACGGTGGCGCCGTTGTCCAAGCAGATGAACTCGCCGCGTCTCTCGTTTGAAGCATCAAGCGTGTTGACGAAGATGCACACTGAGCGCAATATTTTTGGAAGCGCTCTCAGAGTATCAGGGCACGCAGGCCTGGGCATGATTCTTCCAGCTTTATACTCTGGTGTCTATTGCATACATCTTGGCGGTTTCAGTTTTAGTGTAGGAGTACGTTGTAGTTGACGACTTTCTAGACTTGGTCCTGTCTCTGCTCCTTGTTCTTGAGTGGTAGTTGTACGCAGATACATTTTGTCTTGATCCAACATCTGAAGAATATGTAGGAGCAAAAGAAAAACTATTTTAGGGTTCATGTTATGACTGAATCAGAGGTGAGTTTTTTCCACACTGCACTTGAATTGTAATGTGAAAACATTGACTTGGATTCATTCTTAGGGAATTATGAGGAACTCAATAATCACATTTATATTGCATTTTAAAAAGCAAGGTAATATTTAGAATATTTTAACAACATAAGAAAAGCTGGTGACTGGGGCAGGACATTCAGTCCATCAGTGATCATTTTCCTGCACACTGAGTCATAACAATACAAGCATCAAGCCCAGACTTGAATGTTTCTCCACCTCCACTTCATCCCCTGTTAATGCTTCCCATGTATTAGAAGCTCTGAGTCAAAGGTCTGCGTATAGAGCAAAAGAAAACTCATTTTGCAATGCTGAATTTAAAATGTCACAATTTTATAGTTATATCCCCAAATCTGCTCACAGAACTTAAAATAACTGTTATTGGTTCAATTTAAAATTCTGACAATCTTAGTCAGACCAGCCAAGTCTGAAAACATTACATTCCTGCTACATTCCTGTTCATAGCTCATCTTCTATAGCTTCAAAGAAAGAATGCAGCTATAGGCTAACATTACAGTTGGAAGTTTGATCAAGTCGCTAATCCCACTTTTAAAAGCAGATTGACTTTCAGAGTATTCAAGTGGAGTAAATCATTTTCCAATAAAAAGTTCTTAAGTCATAAAGTGCTCAACTTATTCTTCACGGCTAAATGGTGTTTTGAAAAGCCCCCATTCTGTGAATATTATTGTTCTTTGTGTTTAGCTTTTCACATTTTCAACAGAGTGGAAAAGGTCCAAAAATGAGCTAATAGATCCTAAGGGAAAACGGTTTATTGTACTGATTGCTTAAGATTGATTAGGTTGATTATGCAAGATGCATAGATTAGTTTTCATTCATTCTCATTCCACAGTACTCACATTGAAAGCACCTTTCAGTTGATTAATTGAATTGACCATCAAAGAGAAATATTAAAATGAATGAATGGCCCTTATATATTAATCTCTCTTCTTTCTAATTGTTCTTTTTTTACTCCTAAATACAGTAAGAGAAAAGAATAAAGATACAACTCTATTAAACTGCACCTTCACAGATCTCCGTTATTCCTGGATGATTAAAACAGAAACCAGTTAAAAGGTAGTAAAAATGCAGGTTACGCACTGTACAATTTAGGTTTTCAGCATGATTTAAGTATTATCCATTACAGTCCTTACAGAATATGCATTTATTGGTATTGTAATTTAATTACAGTTTCTTTCTGACCAGGACATTTTTCATTGCCCAGATAAGGAACATTCATCTGTGAAAGTGAATGCTTATTAAGCACTGTAAGATACCAAATGGAGAAACATTGTGATCCATCGATAAGCTCCAGAATGGCGGAGTTACCTTTGAAGAAGTACATGCAGCATGTGAGCAGTGTCCCAGCAAGAGCACAGCCCATTGCACCCGCCATGCCCAGCCAACAGGACCATCCCAGCTGGTACTGAATCCCCAGGAACACATTTTGGAAAAACAAGGTTGAGCGCTCCACGTATATACTGACAGCATACCACACTGAGGCAGTCATACCTGGAACAGCTGAGAAGAGTAACACATGAGTGCAAGGCATTGACAATGAAGTAAGTGCTGCTTATTGAGTCTACGGCACATCCACATGATCGACAGCACCTTTTTTTTAAACTCTATTATTCTGGAACTAGTAGATGTGGTCAGACTTCTTGGGTTACTGAAATCTGCAAGCAGCCCCCACTGATAATAAAAGTGTGAGCCACAAGACCTGCCATGGGCTCCATGTACAGTACTGTACCCCCAAGCAGCAGTGTAAATCCTGCTACATAGCAGATGCGCAGTTTGATGTCCGGCTCATTCTTCAGGAACTTTATGCAGTCCAGCCCAAGAAGGAGGAAAATGAAGCCAAATCCAGCCAGGATGTCTGCTATTATTATCAGGGTCCGAGTTGCCACCAGCCTCACTGGAAAACAACAACAGTAGGCTCGCTACATAGTCCTGTGGATTCTTATGAGCATTTAATAGTACTTTTACCATTTTTTGTTACATTATGAATTTCCTTTGTCTTCTCAGTTTGTCATTATTCTTCAACACTCCCTATCTACAGCTGTGTCACTCAAACCTCAGTTCCTCCTGTAATCTGGAGAAGCGCTCTCCATTTTAGAAACTGTGAAATGGCTCTTCTTTGTGTATTTTGGGGGTTTGTGGAACTTTTGTGCTCGTATGTTTTGAGTAGCTCATTCAAACGGCTGTGTAGTAGCTGGACTATACACATATACTACACATACAACTGTATCATAGCTGTGTCAGTACTGAAATGTGCCACATGGCAATCATGGCTTATTGAGCTAATGCACTTCTTTTGCAAGTGAGCTGAAAGATGAACTGGAGAACTGGGATTGAATAAGTATGGAGCTTGATTAGAGGGATGTGCAAAGTACAGTATACACACGTCTGTGTAACAGAAAAAAGCCTTTCTCACTTTAATTCACCATTGAAGGATTGTGTTAGATGGATTTGTACATTAGAAATTAGTTTGAGTATCGATAGCTAAGCATACCATTATAGAATATGAATCAGGTTTCATGAATCTTTTATATACTGTAGCAATGTTTTGGATGGCTGCATTTGTATGGGAAACTCACAAGAATGTTCAGCATATATGGAGTCATAATCCTCGCAGGTAGTAACACCTTCAAAGTTATGAGTCACACACTCCCACCACAGTCCCCTGCAGGAGTCACTGAACTGTACATAGAGAACAGGATAGAAAAAGGCAATTTTAACCGCAGAACTGTTTCATATTCTCGACACGATTCTGGATAGAGCTGCAACAGAAACTGATTACTGTATCCACTGTACTTTTGCAGGGAACAAATTTGCCTTTTAAAGAAACTCTGGACTACTGTATAAAGTTTACACTGTATATTAGCCCTTTAGCTGTGAAAAAGAGAAAAGCAATTTTAAACACACCTACCTTCTCAAAGAAAATTATTTTAAGCATTGGATATATATTCTATCATATACTGTAGATAAAAACATATCGTTAAGACTTGGTTTATTACACAAGCATATGCGCTACTGTTTCTTTTGAAAACTCCAGGTAGGATTAAAATAAGAGTAGTAAACGAAAAAGTCCAAAATAAAAACAACAGATATGATGTCTTGAAGTGTAACTGTCAATTTACTGAAGATTTGTTGTAAAAATATACTGTAGATCTTCCTATTTCTTCATCTGACAATGGACTGTAGTCACTTCATCCATGTTTAGCAGAAACAGAACAGTTTATTATAGAAAGCACTTTGGATTTTTAGTGCTTTTGTTTCATTAAGAATGGCTAAACTCAGTATTTGATTGTAATTGACTTCCAAATGAGGTTAATTATTGCTTTAATTCCCAGACATTTTTACTTCTTAACATCCTGATTACAGTTAAATACTGCAAATCCAGCTTTTGTATTAAACTGTTATCTACAGTACCTTCTACCCTGTTTTGTTAATAATATTCTTTCTTTTAATCATTCACCAGGTAACAGAGACGAACATGCTAGACAAGTCTATATAGCCCAGAGCATTGGTTCTCTGCATTTAAAATTCACACTCACGATTTGTTGGTGAGAAAGGCTACTTGCATTTGCATAAAGGCTGCTCATGTAGCAATGGAGTGAGACTTATTATCTGAAACACTTTATTAAGAAGTCACAAGGTACGCTCACTCTTATACTCCACTTAGTTCCTTGTTTCAATGATTTCAACTTGTCCCTAACTGAAACTTTCAAAAGCATGCAAAGAGCGGAGTATTAAAACTATGAATGGGCCATTCCACCTCTATTATTACAGTTAAATCAAACCCAGCCAACTTTTACAAAGACACCTATGTGATTTTTAGGGTCATCTTTGGACAATATTTGAGTTGTAGTTGAAATTACTGTCAGTGGCAGTGAGCACCTCTTGAATAAATCTTTGTTAGATTTTTGGTTGGTGTATGCAACCTTCTAAAGCTTTGGCTGTGTGCTTTACAAATACCATTGCGGCTTTCATAATTTGGGGTACATCATTATGTTTATAACATCTGGTAGCAGTGAGATTTGTATTAACATCCATAGGTGAAGCTGTGATTTTTGATTAAATAAGAAAACCATATGGGCAAAAAACACAAACATTAAGAAATCTGGACATTATTGAGAAACATTCTAATTCTAATCCATCAGTTTTCAATCACATTAATCCAGCCCAGAATTGACCATGAATGGGATGCCAATTCACCACAGGAGCATACTTCCAATCCTGTAACTTTTTATCACAAATTCCAGATGGGAAAAGTAAAACTGTTTTACACAAAATAACCTATTTGTATAAAGATTTAGCAGCAGTCAATCTGTATATTTACTTCTTCTCTAGAGAGAATGATTTCATATGTTTGAAACATTTTTCCTATTAAAATGTTTGCTTTCAGAGGTAGATAGTCCATACTCATAGATAACTCAGTTATTCTCAAACAGCACTCTAGAGTCACCTGGGCATCTACAAAGACTATCCCAGGGATCCCGAAAACCAAAGGGAAACATTTCACACCCAAACTAGTAGGTTATACAATCAATTCTCTTAGATTTGGATTGGCTCTGAATTTGATCTCTTACAAATAACACTAGTTCAGGTGGGTAGCTGTGTCAGCATGCGTAGGCTGCAAAGGAACAAGTAATAGATTAATTACGGTTAGTTTAGATCATAAACTAGGTTAGTTTATGAAAAAATTGATATGTAAATATGGTTTGTTTTGAAATTAAGGTTAGGGTTTTTTATCTTGAGTGACCTTTAGCAAAGAGGTCTGCAGCAATGAATAGATTAAGAAACACTGCCCCCTGCTCTAACCCCATGTACTTCTGTGCTGTTAACAACATACGAACTCTGTTCCCCTTCTACACCCTCCTACCTCCAGACTGAGGTCGGCATCCACCATCCAGCAATCGGACCAAGTCGCCACAATCAGGAAAGCTGTCGAGACCAAGGCCAAGAAAAAGGCCAGGAGTTCCAGAAAGGCCCTCATGCTGTAGGAGGATTCTTCATCTGAGGGATGTAGAACTGAACAGCACTGGCACTGACACACGAACCTAGACCAGATTCTGTGGATCCCTCTCGCTCTGCAAGGAGGTAGTACTTCTTGCCATGCTACTGGGAAAGTGTGCTGCCACAGTTCAATCCAGAGAGCACAGGTAGCTCAAGGTCACCTGGGCTCAACCCCATTCAGCTGGTTCTCAGGCACCTACAGTACTGTTGGCTAGGCGGCTGCATCAATATGTCATGCTAATTAATGCTAGTTCAGTTAAATGAGGGTGAAAGTGTGATGACTTAACAGTCTGGGTAGTAGTTTCTTGGAAACAGCATTTTCAAATTAACACCATTGCTTGGGCAGACAGAACAGGACATTGTAATGAGTTAAGTGCTTTTACACAGTTGTTTCAGTTCTTTTCACCAAAGGGTAGTTCATCAAATATTTCTATTTTTTGGTAGCTTAACCAGCAAAATCAATGACTAGAACACAAGTTTCAGCAGGTCTTATTGTCCAGACATCCATTATTCAAGTCTGGGCAATATTTCTAATAATAATTATTAAACTTGCGCTTCTCTGAACCCTCCACTGTACAGGTAATGGGGACTCCCTTCCAATGTGTAGGACCCATCTGAATAGTGCGACGTAGGCTCACCACCAGTGCGGAGGAGAACACAGTAAAGAAGCAAATTTATACAGTAGATGAGGATTATTAGTAGGCCAAGATTGATAAAGGCTAGGGAGAAAATTGGCCAGGACACTCCTACTCTTTTTGAAAAACTCTCTGGGATTTTAAATGACCACAGAGAGACAGGATCTCTGTCTTACATCTCATCCGAAAGACAGTACCTTTTTACAGTTTAGGCTTCCCTTTACTATACTTGCACTGACCAACATAGACTGCAGAGTGAGTGTCCCCTACCGGTCCCACTAACTCCTCTTCCAGTGGTAGCCTTAGCTTTCCCAGGAGGTCTCCCATCCAGGCACTGGCCAGGCACACACCTGCTTAGCTTCAGTGGGTTGCCAGAACAAGGGCATTTCTCAAGGGATTGAATGGCAGTGGGGAGAGGTGGAGCACTGTTGACTATTGGGGTTCAGTTGGTCATGCTGTTGTCCAAAAATGACTTTTTGTGGCTTGTTTGTCACATGTGAGCTTAAAGTGTTGGTAACCCTTTGAAACATACAATACCCTGCTGTATGTTCTGTCGAGTATGTGTTAGAGACAGTGTTTCTTTAGTGGTACAGAGGTCACAACACCATTGACAAAGGTCCTCTTATTACCTTATTAAATTTTTCTTAATTTGTTACCTTTGTTTTTTTAAGGCTAATATTCTAGTCTTATTCTGAAAAGAGTTTTCATTATGATGTACTCTATGTGAGTGATAATCCCTCCTGGTTCTGAAGAAATACAGGTATTTCTGACTGTCACTGCACCCTGATCTCTCAGTGTCTTAATTGAATCAAAATTTCCTGAATGGGACTAAAATGTCGCTTCCGGGTCTTTACTCTTTTAGGATATCATGTTATGCAAAACAGGGGTTTGTTTACTGTATCTCTCATCTTTAAATTCCTCCCCAGTTAGTCAACCTGGATTACGAGTGAGTGTGTGAGTGGCTGAAGAACTCTCTGTTCTAGTGGTTTTAATGTGTGAAAAACTAGCTTTTCAAAGACACACTCTGCTTGGGCTGAATTGTATTAAAGAAAAGATTGCATAATTTTTATCACAGATACGCGCTATCAACACCCAGTATCTTCATTTTTTTTTATTTGGTAAAAGAATGAAAAGTGGGGAATCATATGGAAATTATTAGGTGCTACTATGCTCTCTAAGGTTCATATATTCAAAATAATTTCTGGTGGATGATGGATCTGATTATCTATTTTTCCTAATTAAAGAGAAGCTTTATTCACAAAGACACACAGTTGCTTTCTTCTGAAAAAACACCCAGCTGTTTAGAGGTGAACACCTTAAGGACACTTAAACTTCAGGACCCAGAGTCGACAGCAATAGCTCTTAACTCATCTTAATATAATTACTATACTGCATTATAGCAGTATTCTGCATTACAGTATACAACCAGGATTGGACCAATCAGAAATATTAGTTAAAGGAAGCCTTGAGATAGACTGGTGATGATTCATGGATTCATGACACAATCCCTCCTTGTACAGATATTGCCTTTTTGATAATAGATGGATGGGCCATTTTAAGAATTTTTGCTTGAAACAGTTGAATATGTCTCCAGTAATGCTGCCCTTGTTTAGTTCAGTACCTCAAGAGACTGTAGATTTTCAATCAAAGACCTTCCGTGCAGACTACTAGGTAACTAGGTAATCTCATTCATTACTACTCTCTTCTGTATGTGTGAATCTAGATTTCTTTTTCTAGATTCTCAAGGCGAATGAAAAAAGAAACGTGTATCAACTAAGGAATATTTTAAAAGACATGAACAGAATTTGGAATGTCTTTCAGTTATTTTAGAGCCTCCAGCTATGAAGTTTGCTTTTGGATCAGATTACATACATTCTCTGTGCACCTTTTTGGTTCAAATGTAATGTTTTGTATTTGTTATGTCTTTGGATTTGTATTGTGTACAACTTGGGGTTTTTTTAGATTTCTTTTTTAGGTTTTGCTTTAATGAAATTAATATAAACACAGCCCCAGTCAGTTACTGCTATATACTGCATTCTTGAGTTACTCCTTTCTGCTGTTATGAAACACTGAAACCTTAACTGAGATCAAAATGGAACAGAGCGCCTATTTGATCAAGTCCAAACATGTCTCAGGACTGGAAAAAATGAGTTTCTTTGACAAGATCTTGCTTAAGGTAGTGTATATATGCGTTGATTTTCCCACCTAGAAAAGTGATCAGTTCTTAGAAAGCAGTTCCTTCACCTTTCAGAAGAAAAGTGAAAAGTACAAAACATACACTTCTATACCAGACTCACAGTACAAATAATGATCAAGGCAATGAATTTTGCTGTTGTTTTGTACCTGATAATAACAACATTACAGGAGCACACTAGTCAGCACTGCGGTGTGTTTAAATAGTGCCACAGTGTTTACTTTTCTAGAGGGAAACAACAGGGTGATTTTTTCTGTGGAATGAAAAATGTATTATGTATAACACATCCTCCTCCCAAATGGGGGATTTAACATTTCTTGGTTGTTTTAGATGCCTTACATTAACAGATTCCACTTTAACAGCTACTGTACATAAAAAGGGCAAGTGGTGCCAAAAAATGTTATCAGCATCGCAAATAAAAGATGTAGGCAATGTTCTTGTCTTTTTTATTTCAGCAAGAGGGAGGGAGAGCAGGCCAGGAAAAAAACTTCAGAACATATTAATCAGCCAAAGGAGTAACTACCTGCAGAGAGTTAATGTGACACAGGCCCAGACACAGAATCAACAAACTATTGAAAATAATCAGTAGTATCAGAATCAACATTACTGAAAACAGCCGCTGGTGTGGAAAAGTGAGAATAGGAGACTGTTAAATCATAGAACCGTTGTAGGTTTACAAACTTTGCGATGTACAAACATTCTGTTACAAATTACAAAAATGAACTTGGATAATTTTCTCGCAAAGTTATTATTATTTTTTACATATTCTTGGGGTTTTTTTAGATTTCTTTTTTAGGTTTTGCTTTAATGAAATTAATATACTTTGCTTTGCTTTAATGAAATTAATATGTACTTTTTTTCTGGGGTCTTTCAAGACAGTTCTATTCAGAACAATAATTAACTCCCTCTGGTGAGCATACAAAGACGGAAGCCAGTTTTTCATGTTACTAGGTGGGAAACAACTTTCCTACACATTCCTGCTGTTAGTACAGAGACACCGAGTTTAGTTCAGTAAGAGATGTGTTTTCATCATCAATTACAGTAATAGTCCTGTCGGTTCAAATTGTACTGGACTTTCCTTGGGAAGATTCTTTATCTTATCAGTAGTACTGGTAGTATTCTTCTAGTACCAGTGGAACTAACAGTACCCTGGTACTCTTGGCGCGCAGGGCAGCTTGCCCTGACCTTGATTGAAAAGTGAATTTCTAATACATTTATAATTGGAAGAAGAAATTGTGGAGAGGTTCTGTTTTGAAATCCTGCAGTGGTCTTTGGTCAGATTCCCATTTCTTGTTCTTATCTTATTGCTCCACGTGAACCTCATTGTTCAGTGGATACAGTGGTTAAGTCTTGTTTCAGGTACATGTGGGGCTTGATTCTTAACAGTAAACAATCCCATTAACTCATCCTGCAGAAAGGATTATAGTGCAAGGAGAGCCACAGGAAACATCACAATTATGTTTAAAGCTCTAATTGACCGATTTGGACATTTTGCTGTGGCTGCAACAACAATAAGAATCTTGATTCTGCTGCTGATGTCATCCCTACTGTATGTGCCTTTGCCTGCTTATGAATCAGGAATTGTTTTTTCTTTGACTCCTTCTGCCTTCCTTATGTCAGTAAACACCAGTTCAGCCCAGCTCTCAGTGTATCCAATAAGCTTCCTAATCATTGCCAAATCTATTAAATCCATTTGCTCACTTTTCATTCTTTGTATTTGATTTTGAGCTCATCCGATTAAGTGTTAGGCCATGCACTGTATTATAATCAAGTTAACATGAAATAATTCACAATTTTATCAACAGTAAAAGAGCAAAATTGAAATTAATGCCCATATAAAACATCCTGCTTACCGGCAGTGTATTTGTCTGGGAATCTCAAACTGTTTCTTCTTGAATGCTTCTCCAAGGAAATTTTGTCATCAACGTAGCTTTTTAATTTTATTTCAAGTCCTGTAATTCTTTATGAAGAGATTTGACTTCAGTTTTCAGACAAACCTAATCTCTTTTACTGTCCACTTATACCTTCCAGTCCTAGTTACTGGGGTTTTGGGAGTATTATTGTAAATCAATCTATTCTTGTCTCTTCCTGTGCACTTGTGCAAAATAATAATTCTGATCTTGAACTCGCTCAGAAGCTGGTACAGGTTTTATTGACTGGCCTTACTGCAGCTAAAAAAATGTTGGGACAGTGTTTTGGAAGCTTGCTTAAACCTTCCCTGACAACTCTGGATCTTGTCCTGTCTTGATATCATCTATATGGAGCTCTGTAGTGCTCAGTTTCATGGCGCTACAGTGGTGGAGGGGAAGACAGATGCTTGGACTTCTGCAACCAGCACAGCAAAGGAATAATCCTTGTTTCTCACAGCTGTCTGACTCTTGCCCCTGGGTCCCTTAGATTGCAACTTGGAGTGGGTGCCATGCAGGAGTGGGAGGTGGGGGCTGTGGATATGTACTAGTCTGTTCTTATCTTGGTTTGCTTTTTTTACAATTAAAAATCTATAAAATATGAATCAAATAAGAATCACAAAATCTGTACATATGAGAACAAAAAAAAAGTAAATGCAGATAAAATCTTCCGATCTATAATAATAATAAAAATAATAATAATAATAATAATAATAATAATTATTATTATTATTATTATTATTATTATTATTATTACAATCATGCAGATTAAATAAGGTACACATTATATGAGTAATGACAAAGAGGCTAGCACCACCTGTTTCTGTAACGAGAAAAGTCCTATGGCCATTATTGGGAACATAACCTGCCCCCAGCTATGAAATTGTCTTGAACTACTTCCCGAAAGTGTCAATTCCGAACAGACAATATAATCCTCACGTGGCAGAAACAGTGGAAACGTGCAAACTCCACACAGATTGGTGTTCCAAGACAGAGCTGTACCCAGGTCCCAAGAGCTACGAAGCAGCATCCCTAACGGGCTGGTGCGTTTTTGTAGCGCTTTGTAAACAAAAGTCTGTTTTGCAGAAAGCTAATAAAAACAACACTCCGTCGAGTGATAATATTTACGAAATAACGGTTACTCATAAAAAACACATCGACTAACCACACAGTCAGGAAAACACATGACATGTTACTGTAAATGGGTGTGTTCGAAAATAATACCTTGCTGTTATCCTCTATGGGTGTAAAATAAAAATACGTTTCAATTAGCAATTTAGCAAACGAGAAACACTTCTGAATTTTCTTTTTTTATTCTTTAACCACTTTTTAACAGATGTATCTTGAATTAAAAGGTGAGTAAAGTGGACGTTCAGGGCTACAGTAGGTGCAAAGCACTGTACCAGTTTGTAGTTGACTTTATCAAGTTCCTGTGTTGCGGCGCGGAGACCAGCAGAGGGGGCTACCGAGCGCTCTCTCCGAATTTAAAGTTCGGGTTCGAGGTGGAGCGAGCTCATTCGGGTGAATTCGACAGAGATAGCAACAAGTTCCAGGCTTCTGCGGGATGTCTTCTTGATCAAGAGTTTGATTTATCTCCACAGCAACTTGAGCTTCAAGAAGCGGTCTGAATTTTCGTAGCAAGAGCTTCATTAGCGGACTTACTGTCTTATAGTAACTTTTTTTTTCCTAAAGAAGAAAATCCTTTAAAAAAAATATTATCATTATTATTTGGACAGCACAGTTATTTAGAAATGGCAAACGCAGGGATACAGCTACTTGGGTATGCCCTGGCTTTTATAGGCTTTATTGCTCTGATAGCATCCACTGCCATGCCTGAGTGGAAGGCATCGTCGTACGCCGGAGATAACATTGTGACGGCGCAAGCCATCTACGAGGGGCTGTGGATGTCGTGCGTGTCTCAGAGCACCGGGCAAGTTCAGTGCAAAGTATTCGACTCGCTTCTGCAGCTGCCGTGTAAGTATTGAAAAGAGCAACGACAAAGCGAGCGGGATCAGCTGAGCACTTTAGCAGTACCTGAAAGAATGAGTGAAATATATCGGGACCAGATAACGAGGGTTAGGGTCAGAATTTCTGGAAAAAGATCAGAGAAGAGTTAGAAATACGAATAACTCGTTTCATAAATTAAGATGATGCTAGGGATCGTATTCTAGGTTTCTGTAGTTTAAAAAATAATTTAACAATGAGAGAAACGGTTAATTATGGCTTTCCTTGATTTTTAATTTTCTATCCTCGTATCAAATGCCCCCTAAATTACCTTTAAATACATATTTTATCAGGTTTTCATTATTTAAAATATTAAGCAGCTCTTTGCTAAATGCAAGCATGCAAACGTTTTATGCAAAACCAACCGCTGTCTGATCTTATATAATAAACATAAAGGAAAGCACTTCAACCTAAAAAAAACTTTATTTGTATGGAATGCAAACGTTTAAGGCTGTCGTGCGATGTTGTGAAAATATTTGAACTGCTGAATTGATTTAGACAATTCAATTTAAGACATACTAACATAAGAGTGTAATGATTTTAAACGAGCCCTTGTAATAATAAATTATAGTTCAGGTGGGTAGCTGCGTCAGCATGCGTAGGCTGCAAAGGAACAAGTAATAGGTTTATTCCATGCTGAAAAAAAGAAGAAAGAGAACACAATAAATTATATACATTCATTATCACAAAGGCGCTTATTCTCTTAAGTGTTAGGGGCATATGGCCCATATCCTGTAAGCACAATGCGCAACGGTACGCCAATTCAATGCAAAACGCACACTTAAGGACAGAGACAGCAATTAACTTGCATAGAGTATATTTAGATAGTGGGAGGAAACGGATCACCCGGAGAACCCTCACACCACCATGGAGAGATCGCACAAATTTCAATGCAGAAAACGCTCCAATCCGTAAAACAATCCACGATCCAAGAGCTGTAAATTAGCTCTAGTCTAATCTACTTAGATGATCAAAATCTCATTTTTAAATTAAAGCTTGGTTTATGTTTGTAACCGAAAAAAAGAACAGGAATTGTATCGTGTACAGGGATCTACATTAACATGCAAGAATAAAAACATTTCTGAAATGCATATACAGCTATTCTTCTGCCCTGTGCATTAATTTATCAGTTCATTCACTCGAGAAAAACGACAATAGAAAGCCACTTTCCGTTGACTGACAGCACGAAATGAACTGTCAGGAAAAACATCAACTAAGCACATATGTCCTTGCATGCACACGAAAAATGTTAGTTGTGTTTGAAAGCAATAAATAAAGCTAGTCTCCCTAGTAATTATGCGAAGCAAATTTAAAGAATGTCTTAATTATACGTTGTTAGTCAGTTTTGTCTGTTCCATAAGGTGCTATACCTTCAAGTTACTGCCATAAAAGAGTGGTTAGTGGTTAATATCCTTTACAATACTTGGAATACCTGTGAAATACAAAATATTCTATTAATTCTGTCTTTATGTATTCGTTGAATGATACAGCAGATCATTTATTTCACTGCTTTTTGTGGTCTTTTGTGGGTGTTCATTGAGGGTTACCCCACCCCAGTGCATGTGTCCACCTTAAAACCGAGCTGTACAGGTAACATCCTCCTCTACACCGCTGATCTCTGTCTCGCTTTTCTTCCATTCAAGTCAGAACAGGAGTCTCAAGATTGACAGGGTTTCTGGGGGAGGGCTGTGTGCCGTCTTTTTTTCTTGCTTGACGCTCACACAAAGAAGCCCACATAAATAATGCAACATCTGACAGGGAAACTTTCGTAACTCACCAATACCTCCTGTTTTTAAAACCATTGCTAAGACAGGAATCTAAAGCACCGATACATTGCACTTATAGGAAACAAGAAATCAAGAAAACCAATAAACAGAGGGATGGATGTTTTTTTTATTTTCCTTAATTTTTGAAGCAGCATAAGACATCATAATGAATCTAGTTCCAATTGCCCCTTGGTTCTAGAGACGCCCCCTTCTGACACAGATTAAAAGAATGAAGTAGAGGTGCCCCCACAGTACGGAGTAGAGCTGCATCAATTTTGAATAAGAAGGCTAGAAAACATGGACGTCAGGGAGTATCTGGTAGTTTTGGGCACTTCAGAGTTCAGACAATCTCCCTTTCTATCCCTGCCTCCCAGCAGCCGTGATGTAATAGCATGATTGTAACGGGTTTTGCAGCCTCTGTCCAGGCCACGCGGGCGTTGATGATTGCTGGTATACTCTTGTCTGCGGTCGCCATGTTGATAGCCTCGCTGGGGATGAAGTGCACCACCTGCTTTGCCGACGACAAGCAGAAGAAGAGCCGTATTGCTGTCATAGGAGGATCCATCTTCATTCTCGCAGGTGGGAGACCGCTTGCTTTCTTCAGATTTCAGTTTGAGTTGACAGTCGTGGCCGTTCTCCTCATGAAGATCTAATCCATGCTGAAGCTATGATGATGGCAGTTGCAAGTACTTTAAAAACCGAGTCGCACTTAAGAGTATCGACACTTGCCGTTCACCCGGACCTACAGGTCTAATTTTACTTATCTGACACACGCGCGTTAACGATTACATGTAATGATGGGCTTCAGAAAATTGCTGTTTCACGGGGAAAACTCACCAGCCACAATTACAGTGAGTAAGACAAGGAATTAAGTGGGATCCTGTTTGTAATGTCATCTGTACAGAGTGTGTGAGGCGTGTGTTATCCTGTCTGATAGTGTGATTATAATAAATGGAAAAAATACCATGGTCACGGAATTATGGCAACAAGAATGTGATATCTTAGACTATGAAATGATTACATTTATGTAATAGTTACTGTATCTGTAAATAGTAGGTATATGCAATTTACAAAAATCAAAGTGGCATGCTGTTTCACAAATGAAATGTTGCTGACCTGGGCAACAGTGTCTCATCGGAGGTGAATTTTAAGAGAGGCAGGTAGCAACATGATTGAGACAACTAATGAAACAAAAATAAACCCAGAACAGCTTTACATAGTAGTGACTGAAAAGGATTTGCATTTACATGTCATCAGCTCTTATGTGTATCGGTGTAATACCTTATTCATTGAAAATAATTATATTTTCTTTCTACTGCTCTAATGATGTAGTATACATCACAATACAGCAGGATTAATATATATGGTCTTTTTCCATTCTTTCTGCAGGTCTTTGTGCTCTTGTGGCAACATCTTGGTATGCTAATAGAATTGCACAGGACTTCTACAACCCTTTCACTCCTACCAACAGCAGGTACGGTATAAAATGAGGGATAAGTGTGTGGTTCTGCAACAGGGGATTCCTTTAGACCTAGATCCGAGTCTTATCATTTTCTTATTAACCAAAGGCATTGAGTTTGTCCCGGTTACCAAACCGGTTTCCTTTAAACCAACAAATTGGTAGCCTCAGGGTCTAAAAATAATTGATATGTGACAGCTACAAAATGTACTTTACCAGTCATTCCTCCCTAGTTTAAAACAGTTTTAATAAAAAAAAATAAACAATATTTTTCTAATAACAATTTACCAACAGAATATCTACTATACTTAAATTTAAATCTACAAATATACTATATAATGTTTTTTTTAATTCATTACTTAGCTAATGCTATTTTCCATACCAGTCCGTTTTTGATCATAGAACGTTATGTTATACAGTAACTGACAGAACATTCAGCCTTGTTCATTGATCATTACTATTGCTTTGGATCTTTAAGTTAAAAAAATAATTGCTTGTATTATATATTGTTATTATATATATTTGAGTGTTCATACAAAGCAGCTAGTAGTCTAAATACAATCTATTTAACAGTATATGTTGTCTGACTTAGAAAAGGGTATAAATAGTAAGTAAGACTGTAAGTCATCAAAATGTTTTCAGCTTCACTGTGAAGAATGCTGTTGGATTACGTTGGAGAAAAAAGCTACAATGCAGTGTATTCTGATTTCAGGTACGAATTTGGCAAAGCCGTGTTTATAGGCTGGGGTGCTGCCGCCCTCTGCATCTTGGGAGGGGCTTTCCTCTGCTGCTCGTGCTCAGGGAGGGGCGCAGGACAGACCCCAAATTACCCCAAATCTCGGACCGCGGCCTCAGGAGGCAGGGATTATGTGTAGAGGCCAGACCAACTCAGTGTGGGTCTGCCTCAGGACACAGGCACATCTGAGCAGCTCAGCCTTCAGCCCCTGGGACATGATCCCTACTGCAAATCCAGGAGCACTGTACACATCTAAAGGGAACCTTTTTTTAAGTCTTTCATAACTGTACACATGAATTCATGTACAATGTCAATATAGGATAGATTTTTTATATTAACTTTAAATGGGGTAGTCAGCAAATTATCCCTTTTACCAAAGCTGACTTAGTAAAAAAACTACACTGGTGTTATATATATATAATTTTTGTAGTAATATATATTATATATATATACATATATAATATATGAAACATACATGTAAAATGTAACATGTGGTGAGTATTGCTTTACATTATCTTTCCTTGGAACAGGAATGACCAGCCCTGGTCCTAGAGAGCTGTAGTCCAAACAAATCACCTGCTTAAAACATTAAAACAAAATTGTTCCACGTGTTGGAAAATTTATGATTTAAGGGTGACGCTTAAATTTAGTGGTTTGTGGCTATCCAGGATCAGGGTGGGGCACCCCTGCAATACATTGTAACTTTAATTCTTATCTGGAACTAAAGGTCCTGACATTTCAATTGCTTCACTCAAAATCTCCTCTTGAAACCAAAGAGATGACTTTACAAGACAAAATATTTTAAACTGGACTGTTTCACTTATTTTAGAATAGAAGCTCTTTCTGTTTTGCTTTGACACGTGCAAGGTACAATATACTGTAAATGGATAACTAATGATGCAACAACTTTCTTTCTTTCTCCATAAATAACTAACCCCTCACAAATATTTCAGAGATGCACAAGAACATGATTAGCCAATCAAAAAGAATTATATTCCATGTAGCGCAAATTTATAGAGTTCTGATAAATTCAGTATTAGAAATCAAATGTTGATGAACAAAGATTAAATGTTAGGGAACAGATTCCTTTATGACTTGGTTATGTAGATGTTCAAGACACAGGTAATGGACTGAATGTATTAAAAACAGGTTGAATACACTGTAAAAATGTCCATTATTTATTGTGTTTCTTATGGTCAGTTTATTGGTTCATGAAAAGTAAATGTTTTAAAGTACAATAAAAAAACCCAAACTAATAATCTATAACATTTCTTAATCACATCCTGGGTTTAAATAATTTATAAAATTTTGTCAAATGTCATACCTTAACATTAGAATGTTTTTTTTTACTGTCTGTTGAAACTACAGACGTGATTCAGATTTTTCCCTTCAAGCACAGACTTGGGTTAAATTAACAGCCTTGCTAGTGTGAAACTGTAATTTAAAGCACATAAATTACAGACAATGGGCTGTTTTTAATCTCGGTCATGAGTCATCTGATTTTTGCTATAAATCTCAGCTCTGTTTTCCTGTGTTGTTGTTCTTGTATGTAAGTGATTGCATAGGGATGAAAGAAATCACCCATTTTATTCACTCAAAAACATTTCATATTTAATGTATGTAAATAATGACATTCCATGTAAACTTGCAGGCTATATTATAAAAATGTCATGCATTGTTAAGCCATTGGTGTGCATGTACTGTACTGTATGAGAATGAATCCATATGCTTCCCTGTGTGAATGACAAAAGCTGCGTAGTTCTGGTTTTGTACTTTAGACTTGCTAAGCTGAGGCAGCACTTAAAACTGTTCTCGTGTATGTCGGTCTTGTACAGCATCTTTGGTTTTTACTCTGAAGTTTGAGAAAACTGGAAACGAAAAAAAAATGCCGATTTTTTTTATTTGACTTTTTAAATAAACACAAAACACTGCATTTGCATGATTTCTTTGTATCTTTTTCTTAAAACCATTTGGTTTCATTGTATGCCAGGTACAAATGTCACTGTGAAATAAAAGTGACAGAAAGCACATTTCTCCCTGTGTACATAAGCTTTGGCATTCTTGCTGTGCACATTCTTGGGTGCTTCAAGTTAGAGGCCTTAGGGCATGTCATATTGGGGGGTGGGGCAAGTAAAGAGGCTTGATAGGGGGGAGTTTTCTGACTTAGAGGTGTTTAGTCAATCCCACAGAGGGTAGTTCTGCACCACTAATCAGATCTTTCATAATATGCCTGCATTTCGGAAATGAAAAGCATTGTCTTGATCTAACATGCCTAGTTTTGGGTCTGTCTCTTTCCGAAACAGATTACCTACTATAAAAATTGCCATTAGAAATGGCAATAGACATTGCCTGTTTCAGATGAGAAAAACAAGGAGCTCCCAAAAGCATTCACAGGTCATACCTTTGTTATATCTTTCCTCAAGTCCCCAGTCTCTACAGTGTGTTTCTCATATCAGCAGTATACACCACCTTCGGTTGCTCAGGCTCGAGAGTTTCAGAATACACATTCCAAGCAGAAGTAAAAATAGCTCTTTATGTCATTGGTTATATTGGAAATGCATTGTGACAACAGTGTTTTGTTCCGGATTTTGTAATTTCAGGTTTTGTGTTAACAGCATTGGTGTCAGGATGAGTTACATGTAAATGATATCGAAGACCTCTAATGCGATTTCATGGGAGTGTGTGAGCTGTTTTCCTTAGCATACTCTAACCATCCATCCATTTCCTAACTACGTCTTCCAGATCTAAGTTGCGGGGGAGCCAGAGCCTATCCCAGCAAGCAATGGGTGCACCCTGGATGATGTCAGTCCCTTGTATTGGGCACACACACAGTCACAATTCAGGCCATCGTTTCCAGAAGTCTTACATACTCTTAAAGAAAATGAAATTAGTTGTTACACATTAAAACAAAGCAAAGGTGATTACACCCCAAACTATTCTTGAAACATGAAGTGCACCACTCTCCCGAAGGCTTATACTTATTTTAAGAAGATTTTGTTCTGTCTTTATAACTTTGTCTCCAGACTATCAAGATGTGATCATTCAGGAGTCATTCTCTTCTTCATGGTTATTTTTTTATATAATTTTCCATAAGCTGAGCAGAGAACCTGTTTGGTGTTTTTTGTTTGTTTCTTTTGTATAAAGAAGAAAAAATATTTCATTCACAAAAAAGAAGGATTTTATTTCAGTTTCTTAAAATTGTATGATTATAATTATCTCTAGTCTAGGTTTCTTTTAAAACCTATTTGTTTTTTACTGATCAGATGTTTCCCTGCAAAGATAAGAATTAAAAATAAACTTTTTTTGCTAAAACTGAATGTGCAATCAATACTACACTCATCCTTTTGAAGCTTTTGTGAAAGAAATCATATTGATTAGACACGAAAGGTTAATATTCTGAAATCAAATAACAAAATATATGCAGTCAATTATGTTACCAGTATATCAAATCAAATTAATGAATATGTCATGAAAAATTTGAAAAATCACTTGCAGAAAAACACAGTTCATTATGCTCTTCCTCCCTCTGTTTATGCAACTTGCCTGAATTACAGGTCTTACAGTTTGCCAGTTTGGGCTGTGTAATTGTTTAGACGAGAAGCTTGAATGAGGTAATGACCCACACAAACATTTTAGCCATACAGAGTCATGTGTTTTTAAGGATCTAATAGCATATTATCATTCAAATTGTTCTATTTTTCAATATTTTGGAGTTGGCTGACAACATGGTATTATTAAACTGTTTCAGATGCTCAAAAGCTGTCATTTCTAATAAATAAACCTGAAGATTGTTTAAGACTAAACACCAAGCTTGTATGGGCTGTGAAAAATGAAAGCTAATGAATCGGTTTTCTGTGTGTTGGCAAAGAGGTCTGAGAGAAGTGCCTCTGGTAACACAGTACAAGTGAAATTTTTAGATTGTGTGGTAAAGCCAACATAAAGGAACATTACAATAAATGCAAAGAGAGAGAAGCAAAGGAAACAAAATTATTTAATTTTTAATTTATTAATCAAATTAGGTGAATTGTTTCTTTTGAACTCATAAAATACAATAAAGAGGTAGTTGAAAACATGGTGAGTTGAGACATTCTGCAACATCTCAGTCACAAGTTACTACTGTACTTTTGCTTCTATGGCAAATACTGTGGCTTTTAAGTTTATGCTCATTTACTCAAGTTATATTTAAACAAACAAAAAGAGAAAATTATTTGCTGCCTGGAGCACTCAATAAATGCAATACTTACGGGCCATATCTATTGCTTATCTTTTATCAGCCTGAATTAAATTCCGTTCCTATTTCCTGCACTAATTAGCACACTAAACACATTGGTAAGAGATGAGATTGCATATCTTCAAAACTCAAAGTCCTACCCTATTTCCTGCAACACTTTTTTTTAAAAACCTATTTTGTGTACATACAGTAGAATTTTGGTGCTTTAATAATAATTAATTAATAATAATTGCTTACACTTATATAGCGCTTTTCTGGACACTCCACTCAAAACACTTTACAGGTAATGGGGACTCCCCTCCACCACCACCAACTTTACAGGATGTTGTAATGAAAGGCCATGAACTCATATTGCCTGATGAATCCCTTTTTGCAGATCAGCACTCAGTAAATGTGAATGTCACTATCTTCATTGAAAGTGTTGTTGTCCAGCATATAGGGGCAGCTTCCTAAGTGATTTGCCAGGCTTAACTAAAATGTACAAGTAATTGACAAAGTAGTTCAGGGGGGTAATGTAGATGTGTCAACATGCGTAGGCTGCAAAGGAACAAGTAAAGGTTTATTCCACGCTGCAAAGAGAAGAAAGAAAACACATTTTGGCTGTGGAGCCTTCTTGGGGTGTCTGAAAACGTCTCCACAGCCGAAACGTTGTGTTTTCCTTCTTCTCTTTTCAGCATGGAATAAACCTATTACTTGTTCCTTTGCAGCCTACACATGCTGATGCAGCTACCCACCTGAACTAAAATGTATCTACTGTAGCTTTAGCCTAAGCTAATTTTCAACAAGTATAAAACCAAGAGTCTGCTACTGTACAGTATATACAGTATATCAGATACGATGCACACATTTTTAGTGTTTCTTTTAAATTCCAAGTCAATGGGAGAAAAATGGTGTAGCAGTAGGATCTTACAGTTTGTACTGTAAACAACATGTGAATGACAAGCCTGGCACTTGCATTAACCAGAGTGGGGCTTGAACATTGCTATCTGGATTCCCCCCTGTAATTTAAAGCACACAGTAGCTTCATTTAACTCACTTTAGAAGGCAAGAAACAATTGCAGAAAGCAACAAAACAAAAGGATTATTATTGTAAAAGGCTGAAGAGAATGTGCTGTTACACACAGAAAAGGTACCGCATAAAACTTATTTTAATTTTTCTGAGAGTCTAAATACGTAGTTCAGTTCAGCAGTGTCCATTTTCTTTTCTTGGGTTAGGGTATCTGTTTGAGCATACCAGAGAGCAAAACCAAGAATAAAGTGAATAAGAGAGAAAAATGAAACGTGAGAGGTGTAAATCATGTAGCATATATTTTGCAGAATCGTTTAGTTTTATTTATCGTATCTGATGTTTTTTTAGTAGTAAACACATCATAGCTGGGACTCTGGGACTCAAAAATAAAATAAACCTTTTTTGGGAATATGGCCATCAGTTTCTTAAGACAACACAAACTAAGTGACTCCAGACCTACAATACTGTACATACTAGAAAACCATTAAGATAACTATGGTTAATTGTCTAAAAAGCTTTATGAAAAAGTTGTGATGCATCTGTTTTATTTTTTTGCATTCAGAACTGTACTTCAGTAAGTATTTGCAGGAACTATGCTCATCATCTTTAGAAGATAAAAGGTAATTTTGGCACTGCTTAGGTTAATCATCCAGCCTAATATGTTCAAGGTGAACTGATACGGAGAATGGTCTTTACTACACAAGGAAAAAGTTTCCATTTCAAAGGTAGTGGGATTCTCCAAGCCTTGGTGAATGAATGATCATTTTTAAGTTTCATGAATTTTTGTGCTGCAGGGTACAGGTAGCTTGAGATTGGCCTGTTGATGCAGATTACAATATTCCAGTTGAAACATGCTTCAAAATGTGACAAAAAAACTGTCAGGCTGCTCTGATTTCCAACCCCTTATCATGTAAATGTTTTTGCATTCTATCAATGGCATGAATGCTGTTCTTTTTTTCTCAGTAATAAAGATGTACCCATATGGAAGCTATTTATGGACTTGAGGTCTCATGTATAGGCTTACCTTACTTTATTCATTGTGTAATGTTGTATCCATGTTAAGACCTTTGTA